GTCTTAGCAGTGGGTCGGGCAGGGCCGGCTGGCCCCATGGACTAGGTATCTCTCTTGCATGATTTTGGTGGTCCTTCCTCCCCTCCCCTGTCCCCCACCCCCACCGGGTCAGCGAGGACTGCAGGTCACCGGTCAAGGTCACAGGCTGGGTGACGGCTGGCGTTGGAAGTGGAGCCACCCCGCAATTCTTGCTTGCCCCCTCCCCCCAGCTCCCTGAACCCCTCCCCGTGCTGTGACACACACACCCCAGTCCCTTATAATCACTCTGCGCCCTTGTCCCCCCCACCCCCCTCAATCCCGCCAGCCTCCATTGTTTTTTTTTTGGTTTTGGGTATAAATTGTCACCATAGACCTTGGTAATAAAATCTTTCCCCAATCCCTTGTGTGGTGACATGGGACAGAAGGCAGGAGACAAAGGGGACACCGTCTATTATTACATCGGGGGGAGGGGGGGCAGGTCAGGGCTGGGGGGGCAGTCTTCACAGGTCCGTGGTGTCCAGGCTAGCGTTGGTGAAGGACAGCACCTCCCGCCCTGGGCCCTCGGCGCCCATCTTCCTGTCTGCCAACACCACACTTAGGGGCTCCAGATCTGGCCCCGGTGGGCTGTGGCCAGGCTTCTTCTGGGGGTGGGGAAGAGGAAGGTGTAAATAGGGGTGATCTCTTCTCCTGGTTGTGTGGCAAAGGTGGCCACAGCTCAGGTGAAGGAGAACCTGGGGTGGGGTGTTTGCTATACCCCAACATTCTGCCCCGTCCCGGGGAAATGTCCAGTCCTGGTATCTGCTGATGGCAGTTTCTGCTCCCACACACACACTGCGGGTACCAGATGGGCACAATACATTACAGAGGACAGCGCTGGCCAGAAAGGGGCAGAGCAGCCGGGCGCTGGTGGCTCACGCCTGTCATCCTAGCTGCCCAGGAGGCTGAGATCTGAGGATCGCAGTTCAAAGCCAGCCCGGGCAGGAAAGTCTATGAGACTCTGATCTCCAATGAACCACCAGGAAACTGGAAGTGGTGCTGTGGCTCAAGGGGTAGAGCGCTCGCCTTGAGCTGAAGAGCTGAGGGACAGTGCCCAGGCCCCGAGTTCAAGCCCCACAACTGACAAAACAAAAAACTTGCAGATCTCAAGCCTGTTTTGAGTTCAAGGCTATCTCTGCTTGGGTATCTCCAACACCCAGTGCTGTTTGTCGTGGTAGAACTCACTGGAAGGGGACACGCCCTTCCTCTCACACCTGCTGTACACAGCCCTCTGTGGTCGGACCAGGCCCCCATCTGCTGTCCAGATACCCACAGGGCCGGAGCCATGACCGCCACCATCTTCCCTGGGACACTCCAAGGGCTTTTCTTCCCCCAGACTGGAGCTCCTTGGGTCTCTGTTAGACTGTGGGACAGCTGAAGGACACCAGACAAAAGCTACACATCCCGCCCGGGTCCTGGACGCAGCCCCTGAGCGCAGAGCAATTAACTGGCACACCACTGTCCACGCTTGAGACCCGATTTCTGCCCCGTGTGCTGTGTGACCTTGGGCAGATCAAGACCCTCTCTGGGCTCAGTTTCCCCACAGCTGGGCAGGGGAAGCGTGGAGGATCTCTCAGTCCCTGGCCTGAGACACATTTGTAGAGTCCTTGGGAAGGTGGTGGTACCCAGGGGGTGTTGACAAACGACCACCTGAGTCCCCTTAAACACGGTCACTAAAGCTCTAGTCACAAATCCTCTTCAAGCACGTATGACCCGGCCGGGCACCAGTGGCTCACGCCTGTGATCCTAGCTACTCAGGAGGCTGAGATCTGAGGATCGCAGTTCAAAGCCAGCCTGGGCAGGAAAGTCTGTGAGACTCTAATCTCCAATGAACCACAAGAAAACCGGAAGTGGCGCTGTGGCTCAAGTGATTGAGCAGTCATCTTGAGCTGAAGAGCTGAGGGACAGCGCCTAGGCCCTGAGTTCAAGCCCCACAACTGACCAATATTTATATATATACACACAAGGGACAGTGCCCAGGGTGTGAGTTACAGAGACATTCGACTTCAGCACTAAAAGCAATTCCTTCTGTTTTGGTGGTGGTGGTGGTGAGGCTTGATCTCGGGGCCTGGGCGCTGTCCCTGAGCTCTGTGTACTCAAGGCTGGTGCTCTACCACTTTGAGCCACAGCGCCACTTCTAGTGTCTCGAGAGCTTCTAACATAAGCGTCTCACAGGGATTTTGGTTTCCCAGGCTGGCTTTGAACCGTGATCCTCACACCTCAGCCTCCTGGGTAGCGAGGATGACAGCGGGAGGCGGGGAAGGGGAAAGATGTGAGGGCGGAGGAGGCTGAGGACGTGAGCTGCAGGTGCCTCCAGCTCTGCCCTTCAGGGAGAGCCCATCCCCCCCTCCCGCCACCTCTTACCTTGGTGGCCTGACTGTCCCTGTTCACGTCCACGGAGTTCTCGTCCAGGGAATTGAGGCTGAGGGAGAAGTAATGGAGTCACTGCCATTGTGCCCGCCGGCACCAGCTTCACCACCACATCATCAGCATCATCAGTATCAATACCATCACCATCATCTTCAATACCATCACCATCATCAATACCATCACCATCTTCATCATCAATACCATCACCATCATTATCATCATCATCATCACCAACATCACCACCACCACCACATCCTCATCATCAATACCATCACAATCATCACCAACAACTATGATCACCACCATCACCACCACCACACCATCATCATCATCACCATCACCACCACCACCACATCATCAACACCATCACCATCATCAATACCATCAACATTATCTTCAATACCATCACCATCATCATCAATACCATCACCATCATCTTCAATACCATCACCATCATCATCAATACCATCACCATCATCATCAATACCATCACCATCGTCAATACCATCAACATTATCTTCAATACCATCACCATCATCATCAATACCATCAACATTATCTTCAATACCATCACCATCATCTTCAATACCATCACCATCATCATCAATACCATCACCATCATCAATACCATCACCATCATCACCAACACCATCACCATCATCACCAACACCATCACCATCATCTTCAATACCATCACCATCATCTTCAATACCATCACCATCGTTGCCACCAACATCCATTTCACCACCATTACCACAACACCATTACCATCATCATCACCAACATTATCCCCAACCATCACTATCACCATCTCCACAACCATCATCACCACCACCATCACCATCATCATCATCATCATCACCATCATCACCGCCATCATCATCACTACCATCATCATCATCACCACCATCATCACCACCACCATCATCACCACCATCATCATCATCACCATCATCATCACCACCATCATCATCATCATCATCACCATCATCATCACCACCATCATCATCATCACCTTCATTGTTATCATCACCATCATCATCACCACCATCATCATCACCATCATCACAATCATCATCATCACTACCATCATCATCATCAACATCATCATGACCATCATCATCATCATCATCACCACCATCATCATCACCTTCATCATCATCACCATCATCATCACCACCATCACCACCATCATCATCTCACCATCACTATCATCACCACCATCACCACCATCATCATCTCACCATCACTATCATCACCATCATCACCACCATCATCACCACCACCATCATCATCACCACCATCATCACCACCATCATCATCATCACCATCA